GTCAGGTCACCCTCAGAAGAGTAGACATTAAGCAAGAATTTCTGCTCTGTCAGCACTTAGAACAAGATCCTCAGACCCAGCCACATAACAAGATTCTCCTAATCTTAAATCAAGAAGGCCCAGTTATTTGGAAGGTCTGTGCCCATGACAATGCCTTCTCAATGCTCTGCGGTCACTGTCATTTGGGAATACAAGTGATGTGAAGGTGGAATGGGCAAAATGAAGAAGGGGCTTTGATTGGGAAAAGGGGCTGCACAGAATGAGCAGGAGGGATAAATATAAACATCGTTACGGATGCTTGAAAAGCCTTAAGGAAAAACGTTTTATATTTATTAAAATTCTCCTCTCTTTCTTCTTCTCCTCCTCCTCCCTCCTCCTCCTCCTTCTATCTCTCTGTCTGTCTCTCTCTCTTAAATGAAGTTATGCAACTTTGATAGATAATGCTTCCCCCAACAAGCAATAGACCATCTAACGAGAACCCCTTAGCACCAAGCTTGAGAACCCTCCGTTGAAATTGTTGGTCAGAGGGAATCCATGAGAGTCCCAAAAGTAAATATGCTGCACCTATGCCCTTAGCTACCTCCCATAAGTTGATCAAGTCCCTATCACTGAAGACCCCTCGTGCTTGGACAAGACTTGAGCTGCATCTGAACTGAGGGAGAAAGGAGAGCTGTGACATGGGAGGAATTATAAGGGGATACAGGAGGGGCTGGAGGGAAAGGGGGAAGGAAGAACATGATTCACTTATGTTTCAATTAAAATAAAACAACTTTTTTTAAAAGCAAAGGAGAAACCTGGATTTTTATGAGCTGCCTTTTGTGTGAATTCTGGGAAGTCAGGGATGAACATCTGTGCATAGGGCAAAGGCAACAGACCAAATAAAAGATTCTGTTCATCCAGTGTGATGAGCCAGTGAGGCTTCTGGGACAACTTACAGGAGCATGGATGACTGGAAGCTTCTGCATCACCAAACAGTCTACCCAGGTGTTGTGATGGCTCTGTGTCCCTGCAGCTCCCTGCCCAACTTGCCAGCATTCCATTGGACATTTCCTCTCCCTCACAGTGGCTACCATCCCTGGGAGGGGCTTCCTGGACCTTGTAAGTCCTGAGAGTTCTAGATCTCATCAGTTTCCTGCTCTTAGGAACTTCCCTCTCCTGCCCGCCTGGAGAGGATGCTTCAATTAACTCTTACTTATTAACAGGGAATAGCTACACAGCAGATCTTTTTAATTCTGGAAAGAAAAATAAAAGCAGAGGAAAAGGTGAAGGTGAAGAAAGATGATGGGAAGAGGAGAGAAGAGAAGAGAAGGGAAGGGAAGGAGAGGCTCTGCAAAAAGAATTAATTCTGTCCAGGGGCTGTCTTTTTGGGGGGCAATTGATGTTTTCTGTTTTCTTTGGCTCTGTTGAGACAAGGCCTTGTCCTGTAAGCTAATCTGGGACTCACAATCCTTACTGTCCCAAGTGCTGGGATCAGGGTGATGGTAAAAGTACACATTAGTACTTTAGTATCTGCTTGTCTGACGTGGTAGAGATGGCAGCTTTTACCATTTGGTGGGGAGAGGAGAAAAGGTGGGGAGCATTTCAGCACTTGGATGCTGTGACGGCCCTGTTACCAGTTCTGTTTGCAACCAGTATTGATTGCTTGTCCACTAAGAAGAGATATGGGACTAGCATATGTTAGCTGATGATCTCCTCTTTTCCTCTTTAGTCTTAAATTGATGGATAATTTGACCTCTATTAACAAAACTGATTAAAGGAATCACATTCCAATGCTAAAATAAGACTGCAAGTGGGAAATGGAAACAGCACAGCTTCTGGAAGCTGTGAAGTCATTTCTGTGGAAGTCTTTTAAGTTTCAGATGCTGAACTTCAAGCCATTCCTGTTTTACAGTTCTACTTGGCACATTCATTTCTTGGATCCAGCCACATAACACAGGAGACAGGCTGTTCTTCTAACTTTATGAGACCTACCAGCTTTTCATAGCAGGTGTCCAAGCCTTAATAGTCTAAATGTGGATTATGGACATAAACAGTTTAATAACTAAGACACCATAAGTTTCATACTTCCCCAACAACACTCTTTTTATGTTTTCATTGTCATTTCAATTCTCGAGTTAAAATATCCCATTAATCTGGAGTCTGGCAGACCTTTAATAGTGTCCATTTTAGAGGGGAGCAGCATCAGCTGACCTTTCTTTATGTATAAGACCCTGCCCTGTATCCTGTGGGGAGAAAATAACCTATCCTCTCCCTCCTGCCTTCCTGGGACTTTCAATACCTGTGGAGACATGAGGAATCTATACAAGCAGCAGCTATACCAACTGGCATGTGAAAATTACAATTCAAAGAACAAAGATGGCCAACCTCTGGATGATCTAAAAAAAATAAAGACCATGACTCAGAGGCTTTAGCTGTGTTTCCCACCTGGCTCCTGGCCAATCAACATTTTATGAAACCAATTCGAGTGACAAATCTTCACAGTGTACCAGAGCATTATTCCACAGCAGAACACAAATGCAGGAAAGCGAGAGCAGTCAACAGCTATGGTGTTACACATGGTGGCACTCCAGTGAAAAACCATAGAAAGGGGACTCGTAGACATGGTATCGGTGTGCAGACAGCAAAGACTAATGATGGATAAGTATTCAGCACACTAATATGAACAGTAAGTTAGAGCAGTAAGTTTTATTTGTCCTTAAATTTCTTGATAGTGGCCTAGGGTAAATAACACTAGAGATAAAGCTCTCTTTAAACAGAGATTTGACTGAGCATTTGATAGTGAACCTTCCAATGTGAGCTTGCCTCTGTCTACGTGATCACACACATCATCCACTAAAACTTAGGGGAGAAACAAAAACAAGAACAACAAACTCCTTTTATTATTTAAGAATATGATAATTTTTGTTATTTAAAAAATCTTGGCCCAACCAGATTTGACTTTATCTCAGGAGTTTGCAGCCTCATTTAAGAGTGTCTGTTGATATACTATGCACCCTATGCAAAGAAACAGGGTCCTTGAATGGTACAGCTTAAGAGACCTTAGAAATCATATGGTCAGTTGTGCCAATGGATTAATTGTGAGTCCAGAAAAAAATAAGTGATTAGCTTGAAGTAACTGCCTGCTTGTAAGAAAAATAATTTAAATATGGTTACCAGTAATTTATGATCTATTGCATCATCCACATGCCTTGATTTCTACTTCCCAAAATACCGATGCAAAACCCTGTATATAACTTTGCATAGGTTTATATCCTAGGTCATATCAGACACATTTCGTTTTAAATCAGCATTTTCCCAACTAGCTCATCTATCTCCCCTCCCTGTCTCCAAGACAGCAATCTCTTTTCATTTAATACTTAGTAGGTGTCATCCTAAATGTATTTAAAATCTGTGTGATCCTAAGAGAACCTGTGTGCATACATATGAAGCACTTGGTTATCTTTTGCACAAGAATGAATATTTTATATAATACTGTTTTCTGTGCCTTGATTTGCTCATTCAACCGTGTCTGAGGAAATCCTTGCCAAGGGAAAAGCTGCAGCCTCATTATGCCTTTATTTTCACAGTTACGTTGCATATTCCTTACAGTAGAATATGTCCTGATACTGCCTACTGCCTCCCCATTTTTGTTTCTGGTTTTGCTCCTACAAATAATACTTGAATGAGCATACCATTTCTCCATTTATCTTTCTATTGATCGAGTCTGCTTCATCGGGTCGGGGGTGTGCTTCAACAGCTACACTAATTTCCTGGAAAAGCTGGAGTGAGATGCCTCTCTGCCTGCAACTATTCTTCTTTCCTCCACTCGGCCTCCGCAGGCCACACTGATGCCCATCTGCCTTTGCATGTACAGTTGGTGTAAAGTAAAATCTCACTGTGCATTTATCTGGTGACAAATGAACTCGCGCTTCATTTCTAAAGCTCGCTGGTTATTGGTTTCTTGTTAATTGTGCTTTCCAGTTCTTTTACCCACTTTTCCAACAGATTGTTTGGTCTCCTTTAAAAATTTAAGGGCTTTTAGTATAATACAGATATTTTCAAGTGCCTTCCAATTTTTGTGAACTCTTTTCCCTCAAATCTATGATCTAAAATATGTTGTATGGAACCTTTTGTTATGCAAAAGTTTTGAATTTCCTCTAGCTACCCCTCTGTTTTTCTTAACTTATGCCTGATGACAAAAGCATACTATTGTTGCCCCTATTACACTGAGAGGGTCTCGACTCACAGGTTAAGAACAGCTGTTCTAGATCGTTTACTAGTCTTCTTTATTAGATCCTTTAACAGCCTTGAAATGCCCCTTTTATCAGAGACTATAATCCCTCTTACATCCGGACCCATTTCTGGATAGTCTGTTGTAAAGATTCTTGATCTCTTCAGGGCTGCTCAGTGCTTCACAGAGTTAGTACCAGGAGCACTGCCAGATTTTATTTTTCTGACAAGTCAGATTACAGTGATGATTTCTGAAGTAGTTTTGGAAGGTAGCTATGCTAAAAACTCACTCAATAGACAGCACTGGAATGTGAACAGAAACCAGTCAGTCAAAATAATATTGGAATAGCATTAGTAGAGTTAGAATATTTTTTCAGTCTTTCTACCTCAGGTAGATTTTAACATCAACAGATGTGTGTGTGTGTGTGTGTGTGTGTGTGTGTGTGTGTGTGTGTGTGTGTGTGTATTGGCATTTGCATGTTTGTCAGTCCTAGCGAAGGAACCTGTGCCATCTGCACCACATGCCAGGAGCTACTCTGCTGCTGAGCTACACCCTAACCCTTTGCACACCTTTATAGTAGGCTCTCACTACCATGCCCAGGCTTACCATTCCACTTGCACACTAGCCTGAGTGGACCTTGAACTTGTGACTCTCTTGCCTTTGTCCTTGAGGTCTGGGAAGACAGGCCTGTACCACCAATCTAGTTTCAAGCAGAAAAGTTTAAATGAGTTTTTTTTTTCCTCCTGAAAAATTATGCCATATTAACCATACTGTTTGCTTAATTCCCCAGGCCAGTTCTTTAGAGGACTCATCCCGATAGCTTCCCTCTGAGTTCTGACTACTTCCCAGTGGAAAAACGTACTTGGGACAGACACGGGAGTGCTCTTGGAGAGAAGTCCCATGGGGACTGTGCCTGACCCTCTGAGAGTGACCAAAGCTTCCATAGTGGCAGCTTCTGGAAAGGAAGAGGGTCGAGGAGAGCTGCAGAATACCTCCCTACAACAAGCTCAGCCGGATAAGAATGCTGGTGGCATTGGCAATGCCCCTGCTGAACTCAGCCTCAGGCTCAGTGCAGCTGCTGAGGCCCTGATGCAAGCTTGTGTGCATGAGACCAGCCAGCAAGACATGGCATCTCCTGGTGTCCTCAATGAGGTGGAGCCAGTGTCTCCCACACACAGCCCTCCTGATGACTCCCAGCTGCAAGGAAGCAAGGAGCTGGCAGCACCGAGCCTGAATCCTACTGCAGAGAAGGAACTTAGATCTGCACCATTTTTAATGCCAGCCGTTCAGCACACTCACCATGCCATCCAAGATGACCCGCCAAATACTAGCAGCTGCCTGGCACCTGAAGATTCCTTGGTGAAATCAAAGGCAAACTCAAACAGTGAGAAACCTGAGATGTCAAGTTGTCCTACCCGGGTCCCCTGTTGCAGCAGCGAAAATCAAATGCTCTGTGATTTTCCTTCTCCAGAAAATATCCAGGGAATTGTACAGGCTTCAGATCCAGCAATGGGGGTTCACTTGTCCCCTTCTGCAGACAGACCTGATGGGGAAGGGCAGAAAGTCAACAGTAACACCACAGTAGGAGCCAGTGAACCTCTAGCAAGAGGAGGATGCTCAGAGAACAAACAGCCCTTTGCCACTGCCATGGATACCACAGGGGAAGGGTCTGAAAACCTTCCCCCATCCCCACTCACCAGCAGAGATTCCACATGTTCTCCAGATGCAAAGGAGGTGCCGGTTCGAGCGCAGCATCCGGTGTCAAGGTTCAAAGAAGCCAGTACAATGACCTGCCAAGCTGAAAGGGAGACTAAGGAGGTCCCTGGCAGGGCTTGGCAAGATGCCGAAGTGCAGGCAGTGGCAAGTGTGGAGAGCAGGTCTGTCTCTACCAGCCCCAGCATCCTCCCTGCATTCTTAAAGGAAATTCCTGCTCCCAAGGGTGAGAATGAGCAAGAGCAGCTACGTGTAGTTTGCCATGGCAAGGGCAGTGGAGGCCACTTACTGGAACTCTCTAACAGCACAGTAGACCCCCAAGAGTCAAGGCAGTGTGCCGGCATTGTGCCCAAAGTGCACATCCTGCCAGCCGCTGCCACTCCTGCTGCTTCCAAGGGGGAATGCAAAACAAAAAACCAATCAGGGGAAGCCTTTAAATCCTCACTGATGGCCTCCAGTCAAAACCAGGGTACAGAGGAAGGCGGGCAGGCTTCAGCAAGCAAAGAGGCAACCTCCAGGCAGCCTCCAGGTACCAATCCTGGCTCCCAGAAAGCTAGCCCCATTGTCCAGATTTCCCCCATGGCTGGGAGTCAAGCTGAGATAAGTCATGAGCTGGGGAACTCTGAACCCAAGCCACCTGAATTTGTAGTGAAAACTGCAAATGACCACAAAACAGAGCCAGACTGCAAACTACCTGATGCCCGTGGAGGTGCAGTTAAAGATGACCAGCTGCAGAGCTTGAACCCTGCTGATAAAAAAGGTGCAAAGGACGGGAAGCCTGCTTCTCCTCATATTGTGAAAGAGCACACACCTGGGACCACCTGCGCCCTAGATGCCAAAACCCTACTACTAAATCCTAAATCTCAAGATAATGAAGGTACAGGGCCCGAGAGCAATCTTGCACCCTCCCCAGGGAGGAAGAACCAGCAGAACACCTTGGAAGAACACAGGCAGGCCAAAACAGCCACGAGCCTGAGCCTGCCCCCCGACGGCACAGGGGACTCGAGCCCAGGCTCTGGCAAGAGGACCCCTTCTCGCTCAGTCAAGGCCAGCCCACGCCGGGCCAGCAGGGTCAGCGAGTTCCTGAAGGAGCTCAATGTGACGGCAGCTGCTGCCCAGGTGGGGCTCACACCTGGAGAAAAGAAGAAACAGATGGGCGCAGACTCCAAGCTGCAGCTGAAACAGTCCAAGCGAGTCAGGGACGTAGTGTGGGATGACCAGGGCATGACCTGGGAAGTGTATGGTGCTTCCTTGGACCCAGAGTCCCTGGGAATTGCCATCCAGAACCACTTACAGAGACAAATTAGGGAGCATGAGAAACTAGTGAAAACACAAAGTGACCAGACTCGAAGGTCTATTTCCTCAGATTCTTCTTCAAGTAAGAAGCTCAAAGGGAGACAGCAGGGCGTCCTACAGTCCATGCTGCAAAACTTCCGGCGCCCCAACTGCTGTGTCCGCCCCGCGCCATCTTCTGTGTTGGACTGAAAGGAAGCCGCACCGCTCTATGAGTGGTGGTATTCCTTCTGTCGATCCGTGTCAAAGCTTAGGAGTTTGGGTTTCTATTTTGTTTGGGGTTGGTTGTCCTTGTTGTTTTCTGAGAGACGTAGAAGTAAAAGTAACTATTAAGTTTAAGACGTAGCTATTACGAACTCTCTGGTCCTCCATAAATAAAATGTCATTTCACATTGATAGAAAGAACGCAAGAAGTGAGGCAAAGCTCGGAGTTGGTCTGCACCCCTAATTCAGAAAAAAAAAAAATCTTCACTGAGGTTTTGTTTTTTTTAATATGTAATTGTTTATACAAGCACATTTTCACTACACACGATTCATTTGGTATTATCACCTCAGTCTAACACAGGGTGGTATTTTCACCAAAATGTCTGCTTTACATTAAAACTAGCAAAAAAACCACTATTAGCAACACTGTGATGATTTCTAGTCTTACTGAAGTAAGGATGCTGGTACCACAGAAGTTTAGGGCCTTCATACGAACCTTAATATGAAAAACTGAAACAAATTTGATTTATTCCTGGGACAAATAAGATGAAATGAAAGTAGTCAAAAGAATGCAATAACAAATATGAATTGGCTTTAAGCATCTGAAGCTAGCCCTTTGTATGTGAACAAGTTTCTAGTTAGAAAAGCTAGCTACACCTCCAAATATGAGTACTGCCTGTACCAAATATGAATTTCAATCTGTACATTTTCCTGCCCTGAAAGCCAAGTGCATCTTTCTGTGCTTCTGACCAAATTAAAATGGTGTTTTCTTACACCAGAGGAAGTGTCTGTGATTGGAGGCATGAAATTAAAGAGAACAGTAGATTTTGGATTGCAAATGTGTCCTCTGGTAACAGTTTCTGACTCCTTACATGTACAGCCTGGATTCCTTCAGATTTATCACTTTTAAGAAACACACTTCAGAGATCTTTGTGAAATCTTGAGTTTTGGGCGGCCTTGTTCTCTCACTGGTTTCTACAGAAGGGTATCTATGGACCATGAGAACATCCTTGGGGCCCTGAGCTAGGCTGAGAGCAGCAGCTTGCACATCGTGGTTGTGTGGAGATGGAGCAAGCATTTGGGGAAGGCCTTCCTTCCATCACTCATCTTTTCTAGCCAGTGCTGATCTGAAGGTTGCTGTTAGCACACTGGACTAAGACATGAGAGAGAGAGCAACAGTTAGCTGCCTTTGCTGAAATTACTCCAACAAGCCAGTAAAAAGGACCTGCCTTGGTTTTGTTTTTGTTTTGTTTTTCCTTTAGAGACTCAAATATCAGTGGAATAACCAAATACCTATTTTGGCTTTTTTCAATGTATTTCTATTTTGTAGATTATTAACATAAAAATTATACCTGAGCTCTAAAACCGAAGCTACGTTGCATTTGATTTCTAGAAGAGCAATTTAACTGTGTATGTAACTGCAAATGTAGGCCACGGTGACAGCACCCTCTGAGTTGGAGAATGATAATTACAGTGTTATACTTGGAACTTATAACAAATTTTTTTAATAAGGCACATTTTCAGTTTCTTACTAATTGGCCTCTGTTAAGAATGCTTTATAAAGTAGAAATTACTGTCAAATTACTGATCAAATTGCTATATTAATGATTAGAGATTTAGTATAAAACTCTCTTTTAGTACTCATTTGTCTCGGATGCCTTTGCTGGGACTTAATCTGTCTCCCATCTTGCACATACTGGGGCCTTCTGTCACATGTCGGCACCCACGCTGGGTATTCACAGGGTACCCCTGGCATACCCAGGAACAGCTGTCCACAGGACCCACTCCAGATGGTGAACCTAGCAAGCCTTTGCAGGGAAGTGCTACAACAGGCTGTTCCTACATTCAAATAGGGGACAAGAAAGAATTCTGGTCAGTAATAATGTTTGTGGATTTAGAGTAAGCATAAAATGCCTAGAGGCAATGAAGCAGAGGCCTGAGAGAGCTGTAGACATCTGTCCCAGATTTAGTAAATCAAAACTGCCTCAGTTGGTGTTACAGTTGAACCTCTCAAATCCAAACCTTAAGAAGAAATATTTGATTTGACTAATAAGTTTGGTTTTCTTTGGTACTGGCACTAAATTCTTAATTTCTACAAGACTCTAGAAAACATCGCAAAATGGTACAAAGAGGTTTTGATCCTTTTGAATCTTATAGAATTGAAAGCTATTAGAAATAGTCATGGAAATACCTCACCAAATGGATACATTAAGCTGGGAACCTATTCAGGTGTTTATATCATGGAACCTATCCGTAGACACTCTTGTAGTAAAATTCTATTTGAAGTTTATCCTTCCCATAAGTCTGTGACACAGCGTTTGACCTTCAGGACATCACTGGGACCCCTTGCCTTCTTTGTCCAGGGAGGCACACGGTGGCTTTCCTGGCACACTCTTCATTGCTTGCTGTTTTGCTTTTTATCTGTATGATATACACTGGTTTGAGAGTAATTTTGTGTCTGACATTAATTTTTTCACATGTCATTTAAAACTTCCTATTACATCTTAGATTTTTAAAGATAGATAGCAAATGTATTAAAGAAAGAAATAGAAAATATTTCTTGCATCAGTAATAAAGGAAGTGAGAACTAAGGGCCTGGAAGTTCATTTAGCACTTACAATGTAAAGATGCTATACCACTCACAAAGAAAATACTAGATCTATTTAAACTGTGATTATTCTGTGTCTGTGACCAAGAGACAAACACCCCAGCTTCCACTGTAATTTGTTTATTATGAGTGATTTTATAACAACATCTTTTTTAATTAGTGGGTTTTGATGCCATGGCCACATACAGTAAAATCCTCATTAACCCTTCATTTTGAATCAATGACATAGATAAATATTTTGTTATGTCAAAGTTAACCAGAAACCCGTGTGTATGTATGTATGTCCAAAATGAAATAGTTGTAAAATGGATTCATATGTTGTCCTACCTTAACCAGTTCAGCTATCTAGAATGTAATTTGATTTTTGATAGTTTTTTTTATTCCTAGAAATCATCCAACGTATATTATTTTGGATATCTGTATTCCCTGTATTGTAGATTAAATATAAAGCTGTAGTAAGGTGGACTGAATGTTTATGTAAAGCTTCTACCCAGAGGTTGGACTTTGTAACCAAGTCCGTAACGGGAGCTTGCTATCTCAAAGCAGAAAAACAATGATAAGGAAACTGTCATTTGATTGGCTCTGAGAATCTTGGGGTTTTGCTGTTCCCAGTTTGTACTGTTTTGCTTCATTTGGGGATCCTCCATCATTCTGGGCATGGTGTATATACCACACCAAAAAATAGAACACAATGGGATTTCAACTTTTTGTGGGGGATGTATGAGAGTGTACTTTTAATGTCACTTTTTCAGCTATTTTTATATCCACCTTTACATTTACTGCAAATATGTGAGAAATCACTGTCTCCTTTCACTTCTACAGTGAAAGTGTTTTTAAAAGGTCTCCTTCTAGTGCCACATAATTCTCCATATTTCTTGTCTACTTTTTCAGATCAGTATAAAGAAAACATTATATTAAAATAACATCTGTGTATAGGTTTATGTGCTTTTATTGAACACTGGCCATTCATGGCCTTATGTAGACTCAGATTTACTAATTATCTACAATGCTGCCATAGAGATGAGGCTGTCTACTCTCTCCTGCTCTGTTCCAAGTGGTGTGTGAGACATAAGCTTGTGAACTCTCCAGTGTGGTGACACAGTGAACTCTGAAGTATCTTAAGTGAGCTGACGACATTGTCACTACCACTGCTTTGTATACGTGATGAATCAGAAGCCTTGTTTCTGTCCATGTCAGTACCTACTGTGTCTGTCACATTTATACCCGAGCATTTTGTTTTCTGTTAGCAGTGTCCCTGGATGTGTGTGCAGCCTCTTCGGTTGGTTCTTTCCCAATGCAGGTCAGCTGCTGCACCCTGGCAAATGAAACTGCAATCTGTGAATCTCCTGCCATCCTTGGGACAATACCCTCCCCTAACGAAATTCTGCAGCTGATGAATGATTATAAAAGTCATCTGTGCAGACACATAGGCTTATGAATAACTATATAATTTTGAACAGTTTTGCAAAAACAGCTTTGTAAATAGTGAAGCAGTTTTCCATGAACTTTATCTTACTTTTGGAACAGAAAGTATTCTCCTTGGCTATGAAAATCATATAAGTTTGATTTGCAATAACCAAGAAAATAAATGAAGAACTAAGGTGGGACATTTCTGTCTCATGGTGTAATCTGCCAAAGGTCTTTACTGCTACGTTTAATGCTGAACACTCACCAGCTCAGCTACTCACTTGCCACAACTGAATAACCTCTCTCAAAGTAAATCTAGTACATCTGTAAATATACAAACAGCAGACAATCCAGAAAACACTTTGGATGTTGCAAAAATCAAGGTGACAATAATTATAAAGGACATCCAAATAACTACAGACTTGGTGAAATGGTGGGGTCCAGAATGGTGCAACAAGATATTATTTTCACATTTTTCCCCAAGACCCAGATGTCTCAGAAACCAATTTGAGAATAAGACTGTTGACTGTGAAACTAAAGCCAAGCAATACCATGCCAAAAAGAGGCAGTTATACCAGCAAGTGCATCAGCTGTGGGCACACATTATGTAACTGTAGTTTGCTCTGTGAAGATTGACTGTAACTCGGAGGATATGTAGAGGGACAATTTCTGCTTTCTATTAGAAAGCCTGGGTAGATGCTTCACATTTGGAAGCAGCACCGGTGACCAGGAGCAGAGATTCAATTGCATCTCTGTCTCATGTCAGTCATGACAGAAGAGGAGCCACGAAAAGTCTTGTTGGCTTCAAGCTCAAATCAGCTGCAACCAGAACCTTTGTCAAATAAAAGGATTGAATTTACAGACATTTCTCTTCCTGGACACTAGCATGTCATACGCAACTCACTTAACTCAAAATAGTGGATTGTAGGACTTAGCAATGAAAAGCAGGCTCCCCAAAGTGCTAAAACATGAGCCCATCTAACAAAAGGAGCCTCAAATAATGCCTTACAAAGAAAGTTCTAGATGATTTCTGAATACTAATGACTCATCAAGTGTCTATCTGAGTTCAAGTTCAAAATTAATTGGCTGCAAAGTATTAGGAATTAAGTCACATATTTTGCACTTCAGAAAAAGACACTGATGATCAACCAACAAAATGATAATTATAATGAGATGTTCTCATGATTTGCACTTGCTAGGGAGAATTAAAATGGGAGAGAACATCTAACCTCTGGATCTCTTCAATTTGGAAATGTCATTAGTTTTCCCCCCCTAGGGAGAAAAATCTAATTTTTTTTTTTTAACGTTGCTGCTAGTATCAAGTTTTGTTATTTTAAAAATTAACTGTCTCCTTTGGGAAAACTTCTAAGTATTAAACAGTTTCTCTCTGATTCATGTGAAGGTGGTGTATGGAGTAAACCCCACCAGATGAGCAAAACGAGCTTGTCTGTGTTGGAGGCATTCTTACTGATTTCACTGTATATTCAATGGCATTCATTTTGGGCCATGTCTTGGAGTAAGTCACTTTCTACCACGTCCTAAAATGACACATTGTGAAATGGCAGTATTCTAGTCCTGCACATTGGTCATTAGAAGAAAGGAATGACTACTAATGCTTGCTATCAGGGGGTCTACAGATACCTCCTATTAAAGATGACAGAAGTCAACCTGGCCTGAGAAATCAAGAAAAACTCTTCTAGTAGCAATTCCTAAATCTCTATATTTATTTACCACTGCTGTACTAATGTGTGAAAAAAATGTTGTGCATAATACTGTAGCTGGTTGTGATATGTCCATACATTCTATAAGTGTGCACAGTCTGTGAGTGATTGTCACTTTTTTGTGTAGAAAAAAAATAGCATGTTATAGCCCATTTAAAGGCTATTTCCTATTACCAGGTAGGTACATTCAGGAAAGTAAATAAAATCAACAAATGTGTGCATGTATGTTCAGTGACAGAATCAATCCTTTCAGTTGAAGGTCAGGAGGGACCAGACTTGTTTTGTTTTGTTTGTTTATTTGTTTTATCATCTACAAGAGTAGCCAGCATAATTACCACAAAGGCTGAATAGAGTGGTCTGTATGTTGGCATGTTACTAAATATGCCAGAGCTAATTTCACATGCCATTAGTCACAAGTAAGGTCAGTTCTTTGACCACTCAGTTGATTTACATTCCTCACACATCCTCTGTGTTAACTGTGTGATAGTATGTACATACCATAGGTGTGATTGTGTACATACCTTGTATGAATTATCTAAATTCTCTAAAGCTGTTGCTGGAAGCAGAATGAAGAAATAATTATTCAGAGGCCTCAAAAGGGCTAATCAATATGTATTTTCATTTTCTACACATAAAATGTATATATAGCAAAATGTAAATAGCATATCAAAATAGATATGCACACAAATGCATTTTATTCATAATACTACATTTGAATAAATCATTAACAAATTAAAACAACTAATTAATAGCTACATCTTTCCATGAATTTACTATTTTAAATCTATTAATGTTGAACATAATGCTCCCTCTTAAATGATATTACACCCCAAATGGCAGATTTTATGTAAAAGAAAGTCCAGCCTATTTGGCATCTCACTGAGTCTGGTATCTGAACAGCTTCAGAGTATTAATGCTGTTTCCTAAATACAGAAGTATATCTGAAAATGACACACACTGGGGAAAACTGCTTATATTTGGGGAGCTGAATTTGGACCTTTACCAGTATTTATATGCACAGCCTGACAGAAAGCTTACATTTTTGTTCAAGTATCCCTGGATTTCTCCAGTGTACATAATCATTCAAAGGAGAGACAATCACAGGCCTTCTCTTGAGATTAGTAAAACAATGTGTACCCACGCTGAAGAAAAATAAAAGTGAAAATAAATTACAGGTGATGTTGGTAGGATTGGACAACCCAAACAATTGGGAGTTCCTTAAGAGAGACTTTTGTACTCTGCAGACTAATCCAAAGGCCAATGCCATTAGCCAGTCAGTGGCAATGCTGAACAAAAAAAATATCCTGTTTATCAGTTTTCAGCAAGGAATTGATCAAAATGCTCTCATTTCTTCTCAAAGAAAATTCTCTGTTTAATAAAGATCAGAGACTGACATTCTTAAAAGTTAGTATAATTTGACCCTGACTCTGTGACACTAAAAACTGTGTTAGCTAGTTGCTGCACTGACAATATGAACAGAAATATCAGTATTGTCCTTTGATAGAGAATTGTATTTGGAAAGTACAAATACAACCACTTTGTACTAAAGGTTATGAATAACATTTGAACACACATTCATGGATTAGGAACTGGATGTTCAGTCTTCCCATCTTAGAGATGGGTAAGGCTAACCTGTTGGACAGACACTACAGGATGACTGCAGCTGGCTGGGTTTACCTGTGATGAGAACACAATTCCTGAAATCTTGATGTTCACCAATATTTGCTCTTACATAAAAGAAATTTATGTAACCTTGAAAAATGTATATTAATTTAAATATCACCAAAAATTCTGTCAATGTGACAATCATTTGTGGACACTCACTGAGAAAGACCAAAATGAATGACCATATTTAATCATTGAAAAACAGTAACATTCAAAATTTAAAGTATGAGAGTAGTTATGGCATCGTGTCTTTCTACAAAGATGATAAAATAGCATGGTTAAGAAAGTTCTCATCTCTTGGACATTGTTCAGTAGACCTTCATTACCCAGATAAAGATGGAAAGTCATGTTTATACAAAGAATGATTTCACAGACTCCAACCTTCATTTTGCACATGGTTTTTAATTGGTGTTTAAAATACTGAGATTCAGCTGGTTAGCTACTTTTGTCCTTAAAAGTTTTGAAATATGATTTTTTGCATTTCACTTCTCATAATAAATATAATATGGAATAAAATGTCTTATGTTTCTATCCCTGTTTCTGTTGTCACTACTGCTGTGGAAATTGTTGTTTTAGTCCAGGATGTATCAAGTCAGTTGTTTTCCTGACTGAAACTTTTCTACTAGGAATGTGCAGTAGAGCCGAGAGTGTTTGCTATTGAAAGAGATGTGTTTTCCTTAGATTAGAATAGAGTTCTTATTAGGTCAGCAATGCCTCCTGGTTATCATAAGCACAGGTTCTCCTGCACTTGATAGAGTGAGGCAGTGGGGAGAAAGAATATGTGTGTTTATGCACATTTATCTTACATGTGTGCATGTATGTGTGCACACATGCACAAGCCTGAATGGAGAGATATAACAGCTTAGTGCTGCTGGAAGAAGTGTATGTATGGTGGTGGAACAGGATACCTAGATTGTCTCATATCCACACTCTGCTGCCTTTCCTCAAAGATTATTGGTGTGCACTTCCAACCTCTGTCTGCTCCTCAGTAGGTTATTGGAGCCTGCCATCTTGATTCCCAGAAGGCAAAAGGAAGTCCAGCCTTGTCCTTGATTTGGTCTCGATAATTAATTAAATGAATATTATAATTTGATACCTTTTGCTTCCTTAAATCTGTATTCATTTTGTCAAAGAACTTTCAAAGTGAGTGTAAGGTTTATAAACTCAAACTTTCCAAAAAGTTTTCAATAAACTTTAAACCACAGGTTCTCAACCAGTGGGTCATGACCCCTTTGAGGGTTGCAAGTCAGATATTTACATTACAATATAGTGGCAAAATTACTTATGAAGTAGCAATGCAGATATTTTATGGTTGTGGGTCACCACAACATGACAAACTGTTTTAAAGGGTCACAGCATTAGGAAGATTGAGAACTACTGCTTTAAACAAATATTTAAACAAATATTTCAATAGTGATAGCTTTAAATTTTCCTAGAGCCATACAGTTTTTCCAACTAACATGTACACATGCTGTTTCAATGTCAAATGATGCCTGGAGCAGCTACTACCCAACTCTTGTATACTAAGATATTCCATCTTGACCCAGTTAAGCCTCAAACATCTCCATTCTGGGAGACATTGTCTGGCAGTGGTCCCAGGGTGCTGCACTAAATTGTTTGTCTTCTTATGTGGCTCTTCTGCTAACCATTCTTACCATCTACATTTTTATGTTTGAGAAACACACACAGGAGGTCTTTTGGGGCATAATTTGGCTTAACTGGAGTGATATTAAATAAAATTATCTTGTCCAAGTAAAGTTGTTTGGGCAAAAGGTATACTGTATGACACTACAGCTCCCATGGTGAGATTTTTTTTTTAATCTTTATTTTATTTTTTTTTTATTTTCTTTGGAGGAGGATATGTGGCAGGATGGGGACATGAGTGGGACTAGGGTGCATGATGTGAAATTCACAAAGTGTCAATAAAAAGTTAAAAATAAAAGCAACAGCTATTGTTTGTGAGAAAAGAACATCCCTTTACAAACCTTCCTTGCAGGATTGCTTTCTGAGTACCATGCTATCTGGGTCTATTTGAGCTATGTCATACATATCATAAACTTGGTGGCTCATAAATGTATTATTCACAGCTCCAGAGGATAAAAAGTCCATCAGAAGAAAGTTGATTTGCTGTCTAGTGGGTAGCTCATTTGGATCAAAGATAATGTTACTTCACTATATCATCACATAGTAGAAGTAGTGAGGAGTATAAGGCTTCTCTTGTAAATGTGACATGAGAGGAGAGAAATGGCTCAGCGGTTATAAATGTGACAGTAGTTCCATCTGTTCTGCCCTACTCACCTGCCAAAGATGGCGCCTCCTACCACCACATCAGGAGTTATGATTTCCACGTGAATTTTTGGTGGATAAATACAGTCAGACCACAGCAGCCGCATTTTTTTCAATTTTTAAAAAGTTTTCTATGCATGAGTATTTTGCCTATATGTGCTTGTGCCCACAGACACCAGAAGCAGTCAGCAGACTGACTAGAACTGGAGTTACAGATGATTGTGAGCTGCCCCGTCGATCCGGGAATCAAACACAGATCCTCTAGAAGAGCAAGCAGCGAGTGCTCTTAACCACTGAGCCATCTCTCCAGCAACAGCAGACACAATTTTAATAAGCTTGCAAATTTACTAATCTACGACTAATGTTGTAAATGCCAATATTAGTTCATTCCCCCCCACACACACACCATTATAAAGTATCAGTGAGCTAATTTTTAGCATTTCAAAATTTGTAGGTATAATAACTACATTAACAAAAGCTAGCTTTTCTGCATATAATGTGGAGCGCTAACACCATTAAATTCATATTATCTGGGTAAACACTAAACATGCTTGCATTGCTTCTCTGGAATAGTATCTCCCTAAACCTGTTTTGTTCCCACTTTACACACCTCAGTTAAATTGTGTTTACAAGAAGATAGACTTCATAAAGAGTTGGAAAGTATTTGCTTGTTAACTATATTCTTTCAGTCTATCATGAAACTAAAATAATGGTTACATACCAAGCATTCATCTGAGTACTTCCATATACACCTGAACCTCAGATGATGCTCTGTAAAAATGGGCACTTGTTCTCAGTAACATGTATTTTTCCCATTGGCAGATTCTTCAAACAAATTAGATGATCAAAGGGAGGCAGTGTAAATACTCAGGCTTGGTATCAACAGACTTTGGTTCACATTTATAGGCTGGACTTTCTTGGCTGAGTAATTTAATTTTCTCAGTCTTGGAGCACTCATTTACAAATTGAAGATAACAATAACTCCCAAAACTGTAGAAATTTAATTGGATAGACAAGACAATTCCATTCCCATCTCCTTTGAACTTCATTTTCTCTTTAGATAGAACTTTATCACTCTATTGCTAAAAGCCTAGGGTTTTGCCATTTTCTTCTACCTATTACACTTTTTGTAAATCTAGACAACTACTAAAAATAGTTTTAAACATGACTATGATACATCAACTTTGACTTTTAAATTATTTCCTTTTGTTGTTTGAAGCATGAGGACAGGCAATACTTCAACCATTTACAGTTGTCAGATCTTTGAAAAATGGGAAAAGATTTTGATTAGTTTAGTCACATCAAGTATGATTTATAAGTTAAAATGAAATATTAATATAAAATGTTACCAGTTCAAAAAAGGAGAGAAAGGAGAAACAAACTTGGAAAATTTTAGCAACATGAGAACTTAAGCTTTAGATGTGATTTTTTTAAAGATTCTACATACAGATTACTAGAAAAGTCACATGATTGACATTATCATCTAAAATATAGGAAAAGCACCTACAAATCACTTTGAAAGAAGACCAGTAGAGCAGAGGATCTTGAGTCCACACAGTTTAATGCTGACAGATGAGAACTTCCGTGTTGCTAGAGGTTGACCTAGGGGTCTACATCAAAGGGTCAAGAGAAAGTACTTCACCTCATTAAAAGAGTTACAAAATGGAGCAGCCTGGTGATGTGTGAGTCCCTGCATGATGCTAAAGAGGAAGAATTCTCCAAAGAATCTACCAAAGCCATTGTCATCAGATAGAGGGGAGCACCTGCCACTTCTGATACTGCAGCACCCAGAGAGGTATGAACCTTCCAGATCATCTCTTCTCCTCCCTCCCTTATCTTCACCCAGACTGTCATAAATAGATCCCCTGAAAGGAGGAGAAAAGAGTCAAAATCACTTGATCTACACAGTGCTATTTATCACCTCTATATTGCTCTGTTGAAATACCTGACCCAGACTGCTTATGAAGAGGTTTATCTATACCAGTTGTCTGGAGGTTCAAGGGCACAGCACTAGTTTGACCTCCATTCTCAACTTTATTCCTGGTCACTGTATTATGCAACATCTCAGGATAGCCCCTAAGATTTCTTTTCCCCACTTGGTGTGCCTTCTGGTTATTGAAGCACTGTTACATGTAATTTGAGTCCAAAATCAGTTGGCCTTAAAATGCAGTTATCTAAGTGTATCATCATAGGCCATTAAAAATAGTTTTCTCCAATTGATTCTAGAAGGAAATGTCAGAGAAACAATTTCCAGTTAACTGACCTCTAGGAAAAGCCACGTGCCCCAGAGCCCCCATCTGCGGAAGTGCTGCCCTGCTCTAGTTGCTGAAAGGGGACCCTAGCTGATAAGCTAGGAAGGAAAAGGCACCTAGTCCTTCCTAGAGTTGTATAGAACTCAATTTTGCCAACAACCAGTCAGCTTAAAAGAGAACACGTACATTCAGGCAAGAGATACTTCTTTCATCATCCATACCCTGGATGGTTGCCTAGCAAAATCCGAGCAAAGAAGTAAGCCACACTGTGACCTACAGGAAGTATGAGACTCTAAGTGTGGTTGTTATCTTTAACTGTCACAATGTATAGTCACCTGGGAAGAGAGTCTCAGTGTGGGACTGTCTACACTGAGTTGGCCCATGGATATGATATATCTTGGGGAGGGATTGTTGTAAGCTAATTGATGTGGGAACATCCAGACCAATGTGGGTGGCACCATTCCCAACTAGGAAAGAGTCTTGAACTGTATAATAGTGAAAAAGTCAAGCCAAACACAAGCAGAAAGGTAAGTGTGTATGACTGCAGATATGATATGAGGAGCTATTTGGAGTCCCTGCCTTGGCTTCCCCACAATGACAGGCATAAACTGGAATTATAAACTGAAATAGACTCCCTTTTTTGCCTAACTTACTTTTTTCAGGATTTTTTTTTTTTTACCACAGCAACAGAAATGAAATTAGAACAATTATCTTGAGCTGGATTAAGTTACTCAGTTTGTGGTCATTCATTACATGGCAATTGAAGACTGATACAGCACCATTTCATTTAAGTGGAGATTCAAAATTGCCAAAACTCAATTTTGTATTCAAGGACCTGTTTGTCTCTATGTTACCAGCATCAAGAAACACAGACCCTCCCATTCTGAAGCATCTATGTTACTGAAATATTAAATGGTATGTTTTCTTTATTATATGATAGTGATTTTCAATAAAGGAGAATAATACTGGTGTGGAATAAACACGAAGTTACCA